AATTCTTGTGGTGTCACCAGCCTCTTAGTTACATATTTATAAGATGGATTTTCCTGGTCTTGGTATGCCTCACTACCATTGAGGGGATAGAGGAAAATGCCATCTGTACTCTTGCTCCATCAACTAACTGCCCCAGTGCCCTAAAGATGCTTCTAACAGCCCGCAGGCTTCTCTCAGCAGCTTCATTGCTACCAGCTTGAACTATTAGTAAAGAGTAATAAACAAAGGAGCAAATCAGATCAGGAAGTTTTTTTAGTAATTTCACCAGGGAGGCAGCACACTTTCCTATGGGTAGGTTCTGGCTGACATATAGGGCTTTGTGTTCCCCTCAGGAAGGAGTCATCTATGTTCTGCCACCATGCTGAGCATATCTTCCACCTGCTCACGATTCATGCAGGTGTTACCCCTGCTACCTTCCAAAGGTAGCAACAGGCTCAGGCACTCCCTGCAGCCAGAGACCTGAAAAGCCACATTCAAGCTTGTCAGGATCTATTGAACCAATACAGAGGTAAAAGTGACAATTTCCTGGATCACATTGTTACCATTGACAGCATGTGATGTCACCACTATGAACTGTAGCAAAACAGCAGTTCATGGAGTGGCAATGTGAATTTCCCATCAAATAAAAATTTCAAGATGCAGTCCTCAGCAGATGAAGTAATGTGCACTGGGTGTACTGGGAAAGGGGTGATCCTTTTGGATTTCCTCGAACATGGAAAAACCATCAACTCTGACAGTTACATTGTGATGCTAAGCAGAAGGCCCAAACTTCCAGATTCACATTAGCAAGAAAGCAATCTTTCTCTTGAAATATGTAAGACCAGACCTCATACCCACGTGAAGACTGTGAAGCACATTGCCAGTCTTGGCTGGACTGTCCTGCTACACTCACCATATAGTCCAGATTTCGTGCCCTCTGACTTCCATCTTTTTGGGCCAATGAAAGATGGACTGTGTGGACAACAGTTTCCTAGCAATGAAGCTGTTATAGCAGTTGTGAAACAGTGGGTTACCTCCATTGGTTCAGATTCTTATAAGCATGGCATGCAGAGTCTTGTTCATCACTGCCAAAAATGCATAGCTAATGGTGGTAATGATGTTGAAAAATAGTGCTTTGTAGCTGAGAATTTCCTCTATCAAATAATGTTTTTGTATTCTTTGTTTCTGTTATAGTTTCTGTGGAAATAAATAAGAGGCATTACATGTGGAGGTACCTACATATTATGTCATACTACAATGATAAGTTTTGGCAGCAGTTGTGGGAGCCACAAAACTAAGAATTCCCCATTGGTAAAACTTTTTGATCCCAAGAGTGAACCCACAACCTGTGAATGATAATACTTATTAACTCTACAGCTACCAGGAGAATTATTACATCTCCAAATATGACTCACGTCAAGCAATAATTTGTTAGGAAGCTAGCACAAATATCCAAGTGACAGTTCTTCCCAGCAAGGTTCAATTTAATCCATCCTTCTCTTCCCTAGGACCCAGGAAGGTGTATATGATTGAAGTTTAGAGCCAGAGACCTATCCTGGGGTTTTGGAAATTGGCATCTGGCATGTACTTTATTTTTCAGATGTTGCTTTGACAGAAGTAAACCAACTTTTATGTAAGATTGTATGTTAAATTTGGGCACTGACCTTGGAAGAAATCCTGAGCACAAGTTCTTGTTTGCAAGTCATGTCTGGTTTTGTAATACATAGAGTTCCTAATACAAAAGGGTAAGATTGCCTGCAATTAAAACTGAAGATGTCATTCTTCAAGAGAAGATCTAAATGATTCAAGTCAGCCACATCTCTCAAGATTTGTATTCCTTCTGCCTCTAGACAAAAAGGCTCTTAGACTGGCAAAATATAACTGCCTTTTCCTCTGATAATGACTTAAAATAAAATGAAGTGTAAACAATTTTTTAAAGGCAGTGTGGTTAGCCCATGATACTCACTTTCTGAATTCTTACTAGATTGAGGTTTAGCTATGTAGAGCTAGATTTGGCCTAGGTACATGCAGAAGCAGTTCTTTAGGTGCCATGGCTGCTTTACTGGAGAAAATATGGGTGCTAACAACTTCTTAGCAATATAAGAATTGTCTGCAGCAAAGCAGAAATCATTCTTAGAAATATTCCACTCATGGGAGGTGCTTATTTCAGAAGCCCCTTCCAGAGTAATTCTCAGAGGAATCAGTGGCTATATTTCAGTATTGTTACCAGCAGGTGCTTAGTATTCATGAATACTCTCTTTCCACAACACTGGAACAATTAACATGCTTCAATGTAGCATATATTCAAATTACTTTTTGACCAACTTTATCCCAGGCAGAATTGCATCCTAATACTGGATGAATGAAAATCCTGTCCAAAGTTACTGTAGCAACAAGCCATCTGGAACAGGATAGCTACAATAATTTGGTGCAGGATTCTATCATTCAACCAGCCAACCAATAACCAACAAAAAAACCCAAAACAGACTATTACTCTGCTTTTTATAACTGTGGAATAGTAGTGATTCCAGTTTATCCTGTCTATCAGTCTACATCGAGGATCAGACTGGTAATTTTATTGAAATAGGGTGTTTGTGGGGGTTTTTTTGTTTGTTTGTTTTTGACTTGGCAGAGCAAAATAACTGAAGTTTTGTCCTCTATTTTGTGCACTGTCAGAGAAACTGTTTTACATGCCAAAGAAAAGAAGTTTGATTCAGAGGTGACATGCTATTTGAAGGAATATTGTTTAAGTATCCTAATGGATATTATTTGGAAAAACACAGAAATACCACTCACAGGCAACCAACCATCGCTAGTATAGAGAAACTGAGAATGACAAATAGCTTTTGTTTATAGCAAGAAGTGACTACTGGCTAAGTAGTGTTTATGGTAATTGAGCTTTACAAGGAAGTAAAATGTAGTGTGAAGCACAGGGGATAGCTTTTGCAGTGAAGCAGGTAATGAGGAAATCTTTGTAAGCAATGCAGGCAATTCCTGATTAGCATTTGCTGTTTCAACAGCTGAGGAACACGACTTGCATGTAAATGCATGTGTAAGAGTTCAGCAGGCATTCCTTCTAGCCTGCCACCCTGCATTGTGGCTTTGAGCCTCCTTGAGTCCTGCTGTGATTTGTAATCAGCGTAAAAGGAAGGAGAGCAGCACAAGCAGCAGACATCTTGGAACAGAAGGAGAAAACCCTGTAGCAAAGAAGTTGCCTTTAAGAATTTTCCTCATTAGTTTTCAGCACTTCTAGTTCAGACTGTATTTGCATTTCTGTATGTATATATAAATATAGCTGCACACATAGGTGGTAAAGAAGTAGTGGTGCAAAAAATAAATAATAATAAAAAAAGGCCATTGCACACATCAGAGAATTTCTTTTGCATCTGTAAATGAATCTGACCTGAGACATTAAGTGTAGCTGCTCACACAAAGGAAACCACCTCATTTAAGGCAGGTTTCCAGGTTATTTTCTGGCTGCTGCAATAACTGCTGTTAGTATGTTGTTGAAGAAGATACACCTATTCTTTTTATTTGAGGCTAAAAAATACTCCATAATTGAGAAAGCTAACAGTATAGTATACCCTGCATAAGGTAAGATAGCTTTGTTTACAAGTTATAATGTAAGCCATAACAATATGAGTGCTGTATGTCCCTTATCATAAGAAGAAAACTTCTTGGTACATGGAGTGACATGTAGTACAGATACAGAAAAGTATTTCCATCTCTGCTTTCTCTTATGGGGATCTGTGTCTTTTCAGACTTTGTTTTCCAGACTTTGTTTTCCGGAAAGGAAACCTGTTGAGACAGAAACAGCTGTGAAATCCTTACAGTATAGAGTCAGCTGGGTATGAGATAGAGACCCAGAAAGCACCTACTGAGAGTTAGCTCAGTATTGCACTGGGCCAGTAGTAAAAAGAAAGAAACAAAGAAACAAACAAACCAAATTAATTTGAATGGAAGAGTGTGAATAGATGATATTTCCAGAATATTAATTCTTGGGAGAGGTAACTGAAGGAAATATAAGTACAAAAAGAAAAAGCGGATTCAGGGCTAAGAGATCTGTGAAGTCACCTTCCACTTTCCCACTTCCCCCTCCTCCTGTTATGATGGGATTATCATTCACAGGTTTCAACAGACACGTCCAAAGACTGAAAATTATCTACATACACACATGCTTCTATTTCATCATGATAAAAAAGTGCAATTTTTTTTTTCTTTTTTCACCTTTGAAAAGAAAAGGTAATTTTATTTGCTTATTATTTGCTGTTTATTTTTCCAAAGGACTCTGGTAAAGTGCTCAATATATGTTCACACTTTTATTACTTTTCATTTGTGTTATTTAAAATCAAACTAATTTGACTCCTGGGTTCTAGAAGTTTGTGCTCAAGTTAACCTTAATAAAGAGTTCAGCGAATGTGACTTCTGGAAACATAAGCAATAACGGGATGAATGCTGAGAAAGTCAATAGGAATAATGTTCTTTGTATAGGAATTTGCATATCAAAACAGCACTTTCCCAAGGTGTCTCAAACCATGCCTACTCTAGGAAATTACATATTTTTAAATATATTATTAACAGCTATTATTTATTAGCTACTGTAAAACATATGTAGAGGAAGTTTATTGCTTTTATTACATCTACCAAGCATGTTGAAACTGAAAAATACTTTTATCATCAATATGTTTTTTTTAGCACAGACATCCTAATTCAAGAAAAACAAGGATAATCTTTCAGAAAAACATGAGAATAATTATGCCTGCATTTTTAAGTGTTTTTATGGTTGTACTCTCTTCTGTACTTTCAAAATATACCATCTTTTTTGCAAGATGGGGAAAGAGAAGTGGTGAGAGGTGAAATAACTTCACCTGGAGGTCAGCTATAGGAAGATAGATTTTCTGGTCTCAAAACGGAACCTAACTATAAGTCATATATTAAATTAATCTAAAGGTGTTTGTGAATTGTCAAAACAGATGCAGCACTTCAGAGATACCGCTTAACACTTACTTTTTCTCCCACAGGAACTTTTTACACCGGAGTGCAAATTCAAGGAGTCTGTTTTTGAAAATTATTATGTAATCTACTCATCCATGCTCTACAGACAACAGGAGTCCGGAAGGGCCTGGTTCTTAGGTCTGAACAAGGAAGGGCAGGTCATGAAAGGAAATAGAGTCAAGAAAACAAAACCAGCAGCTCATTTTCTACCCAAGCCATTGGAAGGTGAGATGTAGTCCATCACTGGCAGATCTTCCTATAAATCTCAGGAAAAGAAAAGGGAATTGTTTCTAAAATAACCAAATAACCTTTGTGAATGTGTGTTCCATGCACAGAAGCCATTCCAAATGACAGTCCCCAGGATTCATGGAGCAGTTTTGTGCTTTGGCATATTGATGCTAGAAAGGGCATATTTAAAAATATTATTTGAAGAGATCAGGAGGTCATTTTACAAGAAAAGAAATCTTTTGTGGATATGTATTCTATCACCTTTAAGATATTATCTTGCTAGCAGCAAAAAGTGTTGTGAGTCTTCCAATCAGAATGAAAAATTGGACATTGTGGGATAATTGAGAGTTATAAATGGAATGGATGAAGTGTATTTCAAGGTAAAAGCTTTCTAATGCAAAACACAAAGGCCTGTTTATAGAACAGATCATACTTGATTACTTAGCTAGTTGATATACATAACTTGTGTAAGTTGACAATTGAAGCAAGGTAGATGAAAATGAAAGTTGTACTAACCTTGCACACTAAAATGATGTCTCACATTCCTTGGAAAACACATTTGCTTTTCTCCTGGATTATGACTGATCTATTTATGACTGATCTATTTATTCTGCAGGCCACCTCTAACCTACATCACTTTTTGTGTCCTATCACAGAATCACAGAATCACAGAATCACAAGGTTGGAAACGACCTGCAAGATCATCTAGTCCAACCACCCTCCCATTCCTATTAGTACCACAAGCAGTAAACCATCTCTCGTAGCTCCTCATCCAGGCGCCTCTTGAACACCACCAGGGACGGCGACTCCACCACCTCCCTGGGCAGCCATTCCAGTGCCTGACCACCCTTTGGGAGAAAAAGTTTCTCCTAATATCCAACCTAAACCTCTTCTGGTATAACTTCTTGCCATCTCCTCGGGTCCTACTATTTGCCTGGGAGAAGAGGCCAGACCCTTTTGCACTACAACCTCCCTTCAGGAAGTTGTAGAGTGCAATGAGGTCTCCCTGAGCCTCCTCTTCTCCAGACTAAACAATCCCAGCTCCCTCAGCCGCTCCTCATAAGACTTGTGCTCCAGACCCCTCACCAGTTTCGTTGCCATTCTTTGGGCACGTTCCAGGGCTTCAATGTCTTTCTTGTAGTGAGGGGCCCAAAACTGAACACAGTACTCGAGGTGCAGCCTCACCAGTGCTGAGTACAGGGGGATGATCACCTCCCTGCTCCTGCTGGCCACACTATTTCTAATGCAAACCAGGATGTCGTTGGCCCTCTTGGCCACCTGGGCACACTGTCAGCTCATGTTCAGCCAAGCATCAACCAACACCCCCAGGTTCCTTTCCTCTTCGCAGTTACCCAACCACTCATCCCCAAGACTGTAACGCTGCATGGGGTTGTTGTGGCCAAAGTGCAGAACCCGACACTTGGCCGTGTTAAACCTCATCCCATTCACCTCAGCCCAGTGATCCAGCTTATCTAGATCCTTCTGCAGGGCTTCCCTGCCCTCAGGCAGATCGACACCACCTCCCAACTTGGTGTCATCTGCAAACTTACTGAGGGTACACTCAATCCCTTCATCTAAGTCATCAATGAAGATATTAAACAGGATGGGCCCCAATACCGACCGCTGGGGGACACCACTTGTAACAGGTCTCCAGCTAGACTTCACTCCATTAACCACCACCCGTTGAGCACAGCTCTCCAGCCAGTTCCTTATCCAACGGAGGGTAAAACTGTCCAAGCCATGGGCAGCCAGTTTCCGCAGAAGGATACTGTGAGAGACCATGTCAAAGGCTTTGCTGAAGTCTAGGTAGACTACATCAACTGCCTTTCCCTCATCTACCAGTCTGGTCACCCAGTCGTAGAAGGAGATGAGGTTGGTCAAACATGACCTGCCTTTCATGAACCCGTGCTGGCTGGGCCTGATCCCATGGACGCCACGCACGAGCCGTGTGATCTCTCCCAGGAGGATTTGTTCTATGACCTTCCCTGGCACTGATGTCAGGCTGACAGGCCTGTAGTTCCCCGGGTCCTCCTTACGGCCCTTCTTGTAGATGGGCATCACATCAGCAAGCCTTCAATCCTCTGGAACCTCTCCAGTCAACCAGGAGCGCTGGTAGATTGCCAAGAGCAGCTTAGCAATCACCCCTGCCAACTCCCTCAGCACCCTAGGATGAAGCCTATCCGGTCCCATGGACTTGTGACTGTCCAGATGCAGGAGGAGCTCTCTAACTGTCTCTACATTGATCTCCGGGGAGATATTCTGCATGTCAGCCCAGATATCCAGATCAGGGCACAAAATGCCCTGAAGATAGCTGGTCTGACTATTAAAGGCAGATGTAAAGAAGGCGTTGAGGACCTCAGCCTTCTCCTTGTCATCTGTGGTCACATTCCCCGCCGCATCAATCAAAGGATAGATATTATCCTTGGTTTTTCTCTTGCCATTTATATATTTGTAAAAGGATTTCTTATTCTGCTTTACTGCAGTGGCCAATCTAAGCTCAAGATGGGCTTTTGCCTTCCGGACTTCCTCCCTGCATGCCTTAGCAACTTTCTTGTAATATCCCCTAGTAGCCTGTCCCTTCTTCCAGAGGACATAGACTCTCTTTTTCTTCCTGAGTCTTGACAGTAATTCCCGGCTCATCCACACTGGTCTTCTCCCCCTACAGCTTGCCTTACGGTATTCAGGGACAGCCTGTTTTTGTGCCTTTAAGATTTCCACCTTGAGGAGCGTCCAGGCTTCCTGGACCCCTTTACCCTTAAGGAGCGACTCCCAGGGGACCCGTGCTACAAGCGTCCTGAGCAGGTCAAAGTCCGCTCTCTTGAAGTTCAAGATAGCAGTTTTGGTAGTCACCCTTCTGACATCACTCCTGTCAGCAGTCCAAATTTCACTGAGATCATTGCTACACATAGCCTCAGTCATTCTAAAAATTACCTACTTACTTAACATCTAAAATCACACACTAATAATATTTTACTTAACAGTCCAGGTTTTTTTGTTTGTTTGTTGTTTTTTTTTTGTATTTTTTTTTTAATTATTTTGACTTTAGAAGTTTTGATTAAGGGATGAGAGTTTATTAATGTTAGATTGCTCCTTTATTGCGAAACTCTGAACAATACTATTTTTAACTTTAAATTTGAATTCGGGGTGATGCCTTTGTTCTTCCCCTGTTTCACAGTGCTTTTGTATTTTCACAAGCTTTCAACACTACTGATATTTTATAAGTCAGACCCAGTGCATTTTTTAAGTAAACATCCATTGATTAGAAAGGAAACAACCATTTTCTTTAATGTTTGGACTCAAATGCTTTCAAAATATCGAGGTCAGGCATAGGAATAAGTTTTTTACATTGCCTATGAGAATTTTAAAATATTACACCTCTGATATATAGCTCCTTGTAGTTTTATCTCATACTATTTGACTTAATATTTTTGTAGGTCATGGTGTTACTTTATCAAGTTCTTTGTTAAGCAGCAAAGGAAAGCATTCCTAACACATTTTTGGGGTCTCACCCTGAAGACAATAATCATAATCAGCCTTAGATACTCCAGAAACAATCTTTAATTTCAGACTTTTCATAGGCCAAAAGGATTTAAATTATGTTACTGGAAATGTTAGAACAAGTATTTGATCAGTTATCAAATTCTACATTTCTTATGAAACCCCACACTACTAAAGACCAGTGCCAGTACTTTGATGCTCCTGCCTCTGACTTTAATAAGCCAAGTGATTAAAGATTTGTGCTCTGTGGCAGCAGAGAGCGAAACCCAAAGTCAATGTGGTGATTAATTCCTTTGACTGCTTTGATATTTCTTTTAACACTGCTCTGATATAAATAAAGGCTACTGAAGTTAGATGTAACTGGAAATATTACCTGAATCACTGACATGGAAAATGGAATTGAATTATCCAAGAGTATTAATCATTAAGGAAGCTGGAACTGTGTAATTGAACACATATATTTCCCTCAAAGGATTTAAACTGGTTACACAGGGAATGAAACCCAGGGGCAAACTTTTAATTCATCTAAAAATTCAGTTAGTAGTTTAGTTTGGAGCTTTCTGCTCTGCATTCAGTGTAGCTTAGTATGTACTGCATGCTTTTTTGAAATGGAAGAGCAAAACCCTCAAATTCCATGTAGACTCTGCAGAAAAGTCCCAAACACTTCTTCAGCTGTAACCTGAAGAGGTTATAACCACGCTTCTTGGACTTGGGAGCCAGCTGTACAAATAATTTTTCTTAGCTGGATTCAAGCCCAGTCTTGCAATGTAGGGCTAAAGAAAAGGCACTTGCATCCAGACAACTCATATTTTACTTCTAAAAAATCGTAAAATACCTTTTTTAAGGATAATACATAAAATGAGTATATAAAAATATATGCATATCTGTTTCATATAAATACATAACTGTATTTTCTAATTTCTGATGTTTCAGTAGTTCCTTTAAACAGGTGAGCATACAGTTTCCTGCTTTTTAAAGACAGATATGGTAGAAGTGGGAAGTTCAGAGGGTCTAGCATCTTTGCTTATCAGTCATGCAAAGTAGCTGTGAAACTAAATAGTTTCCCATCATGCAAGAGAAACATGGAGTATATTAGAATCATATAATCATATAATCATAGAATGGCCTGGGTTGAAAAGGACCACAATGATCATTGAATTTCAACCCCTCTGCTATGTGCAGGGTCGCTAACCACTAGAGCAAGCTACCCAGAGCCACATCCAGCCTGGCCTTGAAAGCCTCCAGGGATGGGGCAAAAAAAAATATTAGTTACTGTAGATAATCCTGTTTGAGACATGTTCTTAAATAAAACATGTTCTTTAAAATGTCTCTTTCCTTCTTTTCTCCTTTCAGTTGCCATGTATCGAGAACCATCTTTGCATGATATTGGAGAAACAGTGCCAAAGGCTGGGGTAACTCCAAGTAAAAGCACAAGTGCGTCTGCAATAATGAATGGCGGCAAACCACCAGTTAACAAGAGTAAGACGACATAGCCAGATCCTCACAGGTGTTGTGACTTACTGAGTCCTGAGTGCAGTTGAGCGATTTATCCTTGCCAGACTTCCCCTCTGCAGTGTCTGTGGATCAGCTCGCAGCAAGTGGCGTCCTGGCACGTGGCTGGTTCTGAACTGAATCATTGCAAGCGGATAAAGCTCAACGTGTATCTCCACCCACAATGAGAAGACACCTGGATGAACCAGCTAAACTCAGACCATGGAATGCCCTACCAGATATTGGAATGCCTTTTTAATATCTTTTCTGTGACTGTGACACTTCATGTGAATGACATACTTCACAAGTACACTTGATACCTTGCCTGCTGACGATTACCCATAATCCTTTTTTGAGTCCAGTTTCAGCAAAATTCATGTGTTTAAGTTCTATTTTGTAGCACACAAATAATCAAGTAATTTCTAGGTAGATGCTGTAAACCTGTGCTATTATGGATTTCTCTTCTTCCCTTTTTTATAAGGCTGCTCGCTCCACTGTCTGTGACCTTTTGCGGGGATTGTGTTTCTCTATAACTTTAAGTGTTGCCGGTGGCTTAGTTTTGAAAGTAATCAGGGAATCAGGAAGCCTTCAAAAATCTATAATTACAAATTATATCTATAAAGAATAGGATCATTGTCTCTGGCTTACAATGCTGATCAATGTGAATACTCTTTAGTAACAGATACTGTGCTTCTGAGGTTGGCATTATAGTGGAGGGAAGAGTGTCAAACACAACCAACAGGAAGTTTTCTGGAATGAGTGTTTGGCATCCCCCTACAGTTTCTTTGTGTGTATGTGTTTTATACATGTCACAGGCTTACTGGTAATGGTAACATTTGCCTTGCCCAGCGAGCAAGACCCACTCATTTTTGGGAAAGTGGGTCCAAAGAATTTTGTAGGCCTTGTAGGCCTGAATTAAGGCTCATTTTTCATCTACTAAAGCTTCATTGTTTGAAAAACTACCACCACCAATAAAAAAAACAGTTAAGACTAACCAGAATTGCGCTACCTATATCCATTTCGAATATAATCCTTTTCTGTTTTTAAGGAACTGAACTTAATGCCATTGTTATTTTTGGCTGATTTCCACACCTACTTAGCAAAGCATGGGCAAGGATGTTGTTGTGTTCTTTTCTGCAGCACCAATGCAAAGAGTAGTTAAAAATTATAGTTTTTCTGGTGTTTTAAAAAAAAAAAAAAGAAAAAGTTTTACAACTGGACATATTACAAAACTTTATTTTTATTTTTAGCTAAGCATGCAAAATCCAGTCCTATGTATCTCACTGATATTCCAGTACGTACCTCTACCCAGCTTCCTAGGATAATATCCTCACCAAATTGATAGATTGAAGGTGCCTTGCCTTGATCTCTGTATACTGTACTTACTTCTACATGAACCTAGACAAAATCAAAAACATTATAAAATTGAAGCCTTGGCTGATATCATGAGAAACACCATCAACACTTTAAGTTTGTCTCTTGTAAACAGTAAAACCAATCTTACAAGGAAAAAAAAAATTAGGCAATACCACAGAAATGACATTGACATGTTACATACTTAGTCACGTGCTTTCAGACACTAGGATTGTGGGTGCTGTCTGTATGTTTACGAAGGTATTTGTTTCTCAGAAAGGGCAACAAGGACCAAACTGTGCCTCAGTCTGGAGAACTATGTGATAGCACTCTCTTGGCCTCTACCTATTATCCTGATATTTAGAGATTAAAAAAAAAGAAAAAAGAAAAAGAAAAAAGAAAAAAAGGAAATTGTCCGTTCCTTTTTTACTATTGTATTTCTCGTATTTCATTTTATCATGTCTTTGTTCTGAAGTGTCCCTAGCAGGAATAGACTAGTGGTCATTTCAGACTCCCTATCTGCTCCCCTGAGTAACTTATTCAGTCTTAATGAACATGCTAGTTTTCAGATGTGGTTTATAAGCAACTTTTAGTTGTTCTTCAAGGAAGCTACTATAAAGCTGCTAAATTCTGGATTGCTTTGGTAGGCCAGATTTCCTTGGTTATCTAGGTGAAACAAGAACAGCAAACTAACACTTGATTCTCGGGTCTTTCCAGGAAGGGAATGTAAATAATAGTAATAATAATGATAATGCAAAACTACTTCACTACTGTGATAAAAAAATGCAAACCAACTTTGACTTAGACTGTGCCCTTGCCTGCTAGCACTAAATATGTGCTTGTGGGAAAAAGTAAAAATCTCGGTGCACACTTCTCATCCCACCTGGTCCAGTGGGATTTGTGCATCATACCTGAGAAAACAAAACCAAAGCAACTCACATGATGTGATGTGGGCTTGCTCTGCATTTGGAGGGCCCATGGGATGCAGTACCCTTAATGCTGTCCTATCTCCTGGGTACCTTAGGAGCAACAATTCACAAATATTTTGAGTAGGGTAATACAACTGAAGGCTACATTCCCTTTCTCACTTAGATTTTTTAAGAGTTCCTGAGGAGGGAATAAGAGTTTATGTCCAATCCAGCCGTCTATTTACCCTCCCTGGTTTAAGAGCCCAGGGAGAGACAGGACTGGAAAGCTGGCTGAGCTTTGCAAGGAGCCTCTGGTTTATGGCCTAAAGCTACATATTTGATGCCAGATAACTATAATTTGCAGTTTAGGGGACTACAATTAAGGCTGGATTTTATTTCCATTAGCAGTTCATACATACTGAAAATGCACCATAATATTTTTAATTTCTCTTTTTGTTTCTGTGGATTAAATGCATATGTGTGTTTAATAGAATGAATCATTGTCCTAAAAATTATTTCTTTTTCTACAGTCTGTTTAAACACAGAAAAGGGGTTTCTGTGCTTTGTTTCCTCCTTTTAATTTTGTCTTGTCTCGTCTGTTGCATGGGAAGGGGATGGCAAGGATGAACTGCATGTAATAGATTGAGTGTATCAAAGACTTGTTCATCTGTATTACTGAATTTACATACATATATGCAAAGAGTTTGTCTGCACTGTACAGTTTGTCTTTATTATTATTTGTTGTATACACAGATTGAACATGATGAATAAAACATTTATATGAAGGCATACTGAAAAACAACAAAAAAGTTTATGTAAGAAGTAGACTGTGCAAAACATGATTGCACTGGCCACAGTATGGTGAAACTTTATGTAAATATTTTGGCAAACTCAATTTTCCCCTTTTACCATGCCAAAGAAAATTTTAGCTCCTTTAATATGATACCTCTCTTGCTGTTCTCCAGGATGAGATGATACCATTTTGTTCCCTCCAAAATTAATTTTGCTGTTAAGTGAAAGCTGTTTCCAACTATCTATCTATTACTACCAAAATACTATATGCTAAACCTGATGGAATCAATTTGTATTTACAAGTTGAGTGTTTTGTACTTACATGTCCAGATGTCTGTGAATCTGCAGCGTTCCAGATCCTTTGCACGCTTGCTTTGTATTCTGTTCTCGTTCTGGGTTGTAGCTACTCTCACAGATACTGTTTGCAGTGCAATCTAACTTCATCTCACAATTCCGTAGTGAACAGATATGTTAACGCTACTCATGCATCTCTTTACATTTTTTAATCTGTATTTCAGCTAAGGTTTTATTTGGCAAAACCAGTCACACCTGTGGAGTTTCAAAAATTCAGTTCAGCATAGCACTGATCTGTTGTACTTCAAATATTTTATAAATACACAGGCATTTGTGTATTTAAAAGATTGTTCACACTGTAGAGCCTATGAAAAGGTGTCTATAGCTTTCAAATTTTTTTGTAGTACACATGCACAGATGTTCCTCCAAGTGCTGGTTTTATTTTTAGTTGCTCTCAAATCGTAGTTTTTAATTTAGAATTGTTTTCACAAATTTAATGTGTGTAGAGTCAGGTTGATCCTTAACAAACAACCCTAAATACAAATGTAAAGCAATTCTATTTGACTTTGGTATTTACCTGAAACAACACTAAGAATTCCAGCTTTTCATACGTACATGGGGAAACTTTCCCCTTGGTTTAAGACCACTGTAATGGTGAAGTATGAATGCAGGCAGTTTGGTCCATACATTAAAAGTGTGTCTTGCTGAACCATCCATTTATTGGTACAAATAAGATATTATTCAACTCCATTCAGATGGGAATGCAAGTGAAACTAGATGAAGTAAGGAGGTTATCTTACAAATTTCCTGTTGGATAAACTCATATGCTGTGCAATGTATTTTAAAACACCTAATAACAGGTTTTTGTGTGTGTTGGGTTTGTTTTTGTGACTCATCCAAATCCTATGACTTATTTTTAAAGATGCAGTAAAATTTTCCTTCTATTACCTGGAGACAAAAATACTCAGATTTTTCATCCCAGTGCCATTTAGTTACAAAGTGAGATGTTGTTCTGCCAGGAAACAAGGGCAGCACATCAGAAATATCAGAGTGGGTAATGTTCATCTGTGCGTTTCTGTAAGAGCGTTTGGTCAAGGGGGAAAAAAAGGGATCAAGAGGGGGTGAATAATTTACAGAAGTAAATGAATCTATGGCTGTTTTAGAAATGATTTTACTGATGCTATGCAAAATAGGCATACTCCTGCAAGTCACCTGTAGAGGAGTTCTGTGTCATTCTGGGTTTTGTTCTTTCTATCACAAGAAAGCAAGGTTAGCATATCTTTTGTTTTAAGCTTCATCAACCCAGGTGTTATGAAATCCCCGTCTATCCAGTTTGTTTTCAGCACTTACAAATGCTGTTTTCCACAGGCCTTGGAAGCAAGCTTTTACAGCTTCATGCAATTATCCAGCCAGTATGTTTCAATCCCTTGTGCCTCTTCCTGACTTTACTGTTTATGTATCTGGAATTCCTGTCACGGGGAATGGGTGTAACAAAATCACAATTTGTTAATCCACTGTTTTTTACACTTACACAGAGAAATAGTCGTATTCCTTCCATATTCATTTTCCTAGGGAGGAAACAAGACGCAGAAGAGACTTGCTAAAAGCCCCATCTCCAGTTACCTCAGCATGAAGGGGACTGGGGAAGTGTTCAG